CTCTTATGGTAAGTATAGGCCTGTGTAACATATGTAATGACACTGTAAAATAAAGTGTTACCTACCATATTGTCTCTGAATTTCTTGTGTTTTAACAAACCTGGAGTGATTCTCTTCATTGAAAGTGAAAATGCATAGAAAATGTTGGGGCATTCACCCCCAGTGGGATACATTTTACATTTTGGAATATGAACTGGAAAGTTCTATGACATCAATAGAATTTTCTTGCTTAAACTAATTCAATAGAGAAAACCCATGACGGTTAAATGCTACTGAAAATAATTATTAGTTTTGAACTAAAAGCCATAACAAAGTTTTCATTATCATCATTTTAACTGCTGCAGCTCCATAATATGATTTTTCTTTAAAACCTGTCAAAACTCTACTATTGTAACAAATAAATGTGATGCGGTTTACTTAATAGAGACTGACTAAGGTGCATATTATGCAATTTATACATTTTAGAGAGATTAGATCGAACATGATAACAAGAAACGTGATGGTAATGATATTGAACACCAGGTGGCAGTGTTGTAAGAAAATGTTACTCTTTCATACTTGCAGTAACGTAAACACGCTTCAAGTAGCAAAAAATAACAAAATATAAGTATTTTTAGTTATAAATAACCAAGTATAACTAAATGTAAATTGAACTATTTAAACTGCCAGACAAAGAGACTGCATTTGTAAAATTCCATATTGAATTTTAAAGACAGATGTTAGCTTAACTTTAGCATATCAACAGTGATCTCTAGCCTATTAAACTAGCATTTTTTTATATCTTTTGTTTCCACTTTTCTCATTTCTTTGTCATTTTTTTTTTCATACTATAAAAGTCAATGGGGCCCATCAACTGTTTGGTTACCTATATTCTTCAAAATATATTCGTTTGCGTTAAGCAGCAAAAATAAATTCATACAGGTTTGGAACAACTTGAGGGAGAGTAAATGATGACAGAATTTTTATTTTTATTTATTTTTATTTATTTTTTTGGGTGAATTATCTCTTTAATTACTTGACAGGCTAATTCAAATCCAACTGTTCACTGACTGCTGCAGAGTAATATCATCAAATTCCCTGACATTTTAAGCTGCAAGGACATTCTTAAATGGGTGTCCCTTATAGGAAGAAAAGTCTTGAAAACAATGGACCATTGAGAGAAAATTCAAGGCTTCACTCTCTCAGACTTTAAACCTGTCTCATGACCCTATAAAGCCTCATAACCCTATCATTTGATACAACACTGCCTAAATCCAGACATAAATACTGCATTTTGGGATTTTTTTTTTACAATATTATCATTAAACAACAATAATAATAATAATAATAATAATAATAAAACAATATATAATTACCCTATAATATATAACGATTGTTATAATTGTATTACACATTATTATATATATATATATTAATAATACAAATAATTAATATATGAAAACGATATGAAAATAATGAAACAAAAAATGCATTATTGTAATGAAGTTAGTCCGATGATAAAGAGAAGAGGCAGAGAATATAAAATAAAAGTCATTTTATTTTAGTTAAAGGTAAAGTAAAACAAACCTCAGGTAATCCAATGAAATAGCAACAAAGCAATGTGATGGGTAGATTGAGGGAAAAAGGGAGGAGGTGGACGAGGCACCGGCAAGGCACAAAAAACCCATAGGGGGGCAGATGGGAGGAACCAGGGTGGAGAAGACAGCGGGAGAAGCCATGGATGAGTTGATGGTGGGACGAGTGGAGGAAATGGCATTGATAGGGTCCAAGGAGGTGCGGACAGTAGACGAGATTTCAGACTGACCCAGGAGACGGCAATGATGGAGGGAGGAGCCAATGTGGTAATTTGAGCCCGACCGACTGAGGTGACGCAGGAAGATAGTGAGGTCCAGGTGATTGTTTGGGCACGTTCACATTGAGAATGGGCAACACATTGAGATTGCTATCTGGATTATTTAGATCGGTCGTGGGCCCTGTGTCTCACCTTGTTGCTCGTTGACGCAACTTTAGACAGTGTGAGTGAGGACCCTGGTGGAGCCTGAGGGATGCCGTAGAGGGATGGAGCGCAGCCGACAGCCCAGGAGTCCTTGGTGTTGGTGGAGTGAAGACTGACCAGTGCGCAGCCGGTGGGACGAGGGAGCCCTTTGGAGCTGAAAGGTCTACAGTCCGAGGTGGGACAAGTCTCAGAGGGACAAGTCTCAAGGTGGAGTCAGAGAATCCCAAAGCAGAGCTGGTGATTGAGAGCTCTAAGGCCAAGCCAGGTTGCTTGGCGGAGCCGAAAGGGCTGAAGAAATCCAGCTGAGAAAGGGCAGAGGGAATGCCTTGCTTCGGTGGAGCGAACAGGAGAGGAAGGTTGGGTGCGGGGACAGACTTGGGGATAGACAGGAATGGTGGTGACAAAGACAACACTGTGCTGGACAACAAGACATTAGTACAGGAGGGGACCAATAACAGATACCCCTTTTCCACCAAAAAAAGAACTGGTTTGGAACTGGTGCTGGTTCAAAGTTGGTTCAGAGTTGGTTCAACTTGCGAACCCGTTCAGAACCTGTTTGTACGTCGCTAGAAACGCTTGCAAGTACATTGCTTTGGGATTATCTCTAACTCGTGTTCCAAGAAAACTTTAAAAACAATTGAGATTAAAGTCTTTTAATCTTTTCGTTTGATATTGATTTTGATCTTTTCTGATAAGTTATGTACCCCTGTCTTGTGTCTTTTTTCTTTCCATTTATTTGTTCTATATCGTGACAGTTTTCTTCTTTGCTTATGTTTTAAAAAAAAAAAAAAAAAAAAAAAACGCTTGCATGTTTCTGCAGTTTCTCCTGGCTTTGCGATGGTCAGAAAAGATGTTCAGAACACATCTAAACCCGCCCCCGACGTAAGCATGAGGTGGTAAAAGAACGGTTCTAGTCCAGCAAAGAGTTGGTGCCGCTTTGGAATCAGTTTTCCCGGCCGCGAACCGGTTCTTTGGCTGTCGAAACACAAAGAACTGGTTCACGTGCAGCCAAAATACTTTGGTGGAAAAGGGACTAGAGAGGGTCCGTGGGTGGGCAGGGTGGAAAGCACTACCTACGTAATCCGTTCTATTAGCCATTCTTCCTCATCCAGCTCCACTCCCACAGGCATGGATATAATGGTCGGCTCACACACCTGATTAGACGGGACCTCAGGCATCTCTTCCGGGGCTGACTCTGCTGCTGGCACTTACTCAGTTGCGGGCTTAGTCTCAGGAGTGATGTCAGTGGTAGGTAATGCTGGGTAATGCTGTGTTTCAGTCTGCGGTGGGCTCTGGCTCCTTATCTGCGGTGAATGAGGTTTGGCTCGCTGGGTTTGGCTCGGGTGGTGATGGATGGTGGTCCTCTTCAGTTAAAGAAGATCCATTCACCCAGAGGACAAAGTTGATGTACTTGGCCAGTATCCAGCAGGAGTTTCCCCATAGCATCACCAGCCAGATCTCATCGTCCAGTCCGATCCAAAACCCCTTCATGACATTGCAATGGGTGAGGTCTAATTCCTCCACATACTCCTCCATGTCTCTACCTCCCCGAAACATAAAAATCGTGACCCCGTTGGATCTGTTAGAGCTCCCATTGGAGTGAAATTAATGGAGGCAAGATCCAGCTTTATTTCTTTTAAGGTCTGGTATAACACACAAACAATACCAGACAACTGAAAGGTGCACAAAGAGGGACTTAAATACACAGGATCTGTGTCCCAATTTAAAGGCCACAAAGGTTGGACTGAGCGTTGTTAAGTGAAACATTCTAGCCTACGGAGGACTGTTCTTGTCGCCTAGACTAAACTAAAAGTCGATGAAAACGAAACTCACAGATTGTGACGATAATTAAATGGGGGGAAAAAATGGTTTCCAGCGAGCTAATTAAGAGCATATCAATGCACAGTACTTGTTGCACAATCCTAAAATATGATTTGGTCAAAGTATACAGTACCTTAACTTGGGTCCCTGAATGCACATTAATCCTTACAAGTAAATCAAAATCCTCTTTCATACCACATGCTTTAATATAAATTGCATTATAATACTCTGTAAGATTAGGATCACAAAATTATTTTGGAAGCAGAAGTTTACAAGGAGCGCATGGTCAGCCACTCCAACTGCTAAAGTAGTGCTAATCCTGGGGGTATTGAGGTTATTAGACTCAGGAAATGATTGTGAACTGGACTGCTGAGGATTAACACATCACATGTTCACTGGCATAGGAGGTGCTGATGAATGGTGCTCGGATGATGTCTTTTTACGTATGTGATTGGATGGTAAGCGTCTTGCCATAGCAGTCATTTGCGGTTTGAATTTTACACCATAGATGAATATGAATAATTTTGCATGGAAAACAGTATGGGGCATAATACAGGCCCATGAAGTGGCACCACATACCTTACTGAAATACTGTTTCATGGCAATTGACATATTTTTTTATTTTAGAGCTGCAATGTTGAATTGTCTACCTTTGAAACCTCTAAGGAGAGTCTGAGGAGATAAATGAACAATAGCATTTGACTAGCAGAACTTGATCTGAACTTGTAAACTGTAAAAAAAAAAGTTCAATAATTTATTAAAACATGTTTTGCTTTAAGTTGTACAAGATTCAACTTTTTTTTTCCTTGCAAGTTACAACTTAATGTAATTTAAGTTGAAATCAAAGCCATGTGCTTACATGGAAAAATAGTTGAATCTTGTATAACTTAAAAAATTGAGTTAAAGCAAAACACGTTTTAATAAATTATTGAACTTTTTTTGTTTTTACAACTTGTAATTGTAATGTAAAATCACTTGATAGGACTTGATTGGACTGCCATTTTAAATTCAAATGAAAGTGTCTACATTAGGATTGTCTAATTCTAATTATGTAAATGATGCTGCGTGTGTACTCAACTAATTTCATGTAATCATTTTCCAATTATTCACCTCTTTGTTCATTCTTATATAGGAACAAAAAATCATTTATATCCAATCAATAAATGAATAAAGAGACATTTGATATTTTTTAATATTTTATTACATTTATAAAGCAAAAAAAAAGTTTTTTTATTGCAACAAAGCAGTTTATATATCACATCAAATTAAGACTCAGTCATTCAAATCGAACAAAGTCTTCAATCTTTCTTGAGGCACAGTTCATCTGGTCATGCATCTTTCTCATATGTCCTGATAGCGACCACATCATCCATGGTGCATTTCTGTTCAAATAGAGAGAGAGAGAGCATTAACAATGGATGCAACACTTTAAATCCTAATCAAACCAGGTGTTTTGCCAATAAAATATTAAAATATAGATAAAGAAAGCATTTACTTGTACAAATTGCACATGGTTTGTACACATACCGCTATCATTTTGGTGTCCTGAACTTCTCTTTCAATTATTGTGGTCTTCCCTTCCCAGGTCTGCCTTTGAATAAGTTTACCATCTACAAGGCTCATAATAGTCTGAATAAAAGAATGAAGAAATTAATGGAAATGAAAGGACACACACATACTATATATATGTATATATACAGTATAACATATATATAACAGTATAATATATATATAACACATTTATTGATTTGTTTGTTTGTTTTAATGCCCTTGCCTTCACTTTTCTGTCATCTGCTGTCGTCTCATCAAATTCTTCCTCTAATTTGAATTGAATTTCCAGGGTCTTGAAAGTAGTGACAGCTTTCATAGAGATGGACCCCTCTTCACCCAAAGCAATCGTCAGACTGGGTTTTGCTAGGTTAGCCATTTGTCGAGAGGCAAAACCAGCACCTAACAAAAATAGCAATACAAAAAAAAAAAAATGCATTGGTATACAACAGGTGCATGACTGTAATAGACTGGACAAAAAGTTGCCTTCTGACATAAGTGTGTGATTACAAAACATAGTACAAACATAGTTGGCCTATCTATTATTGTGTATATAAAATAATATTAGTCGATATTTGTCTTACCTACAGCCTTCATGTATTCATCAAAATTGTCACTTGAAGTCATTTTCCATTTACCAACGAATTTTTCAACCATTGTTACAACAAATAAACAACTTGATAATTACAACACAATACGTTTTACTGTTTAATATATGTTTAGGATATAAAGTGTTGCAAAAGTGCAGACCAGGGGAGATTTAAAGAGTGCAGGGATTAGAGTAACCACCCGCTGACCAATCAGTGGCATTGCTGTGATATTTGAGAATTTTATTGGTTAACAGATTTTAAAAGGGGAGGGCTTGTTAGATCTGTATTTGAATACAAGGTCAAAAGTCAAGCCATATTAAAAAAAAAATTACTTCTGTAGAATAAATAAAGTGGGCATGTTGATTGTGCATCAGCATTATAATAATACTATAAGAGATTTAACATAACTATTTCTTTAAACAATAAGAATTACCCTGGACTGACCTGTTGCAGTTTAAATATGGCAGACTGCACATCAAGAGCATAGACAGTAAAAGAAGACCAAGTGCAAAACTGAATCTTTGCTCTTGATGAGCATAACCATAGATATCTCTGTCTCACGGCGGAGTATTTATCGTCATCACCTGCGGCCATCTTGTCACAGACACGCTTTCTGGCGGGCTCTGTGGTATCTGATGAAATACTCTTATCTCGTTGAAATCTTGACAGATTTACAAACGGTTTGGTTTCTTACAAACGTTATTAACGTGGCTATAATTCTGGATGATTATTTATTTATACACTTATTATTCATAAGTATGCAGTATGCAACTACATCTCTGCCGTTTATAAGAAATTAGACCGTTTGAAAATCGGTAGAAAATTGAGCAAGTTACAGTGATTTAAAAAGTACATGCACCATTAAAACAATGTTACCAGTGAGCGAGCTGCCTGTGACAAGATGGCCGCCAGGTGCTGACGTCGACCTCCATTGGCCAGCAGGGCGGACGAGAATTCAAAATTTGCACGAGTCCATAAATTGGTTCATGAATGTCGCTGTCTAAGTTTAGTGCAGAACGGAAACGATGACATCTACTGGTGATGATTAATATAAGCAATTCTGCAACAAAGAATTGGCTAATGCAGGATTATAGTCCTGATATTAAAGACCATTATAGTCACACAAAAGGGCCATCAATGGGGTTTCTGTTTCTCCGTGCTGGAGATTACACTGACATGTCAAACAAAGATAATGCTCACAGTTTGGTATTCAATCTAAAATCACTGCAAGAAGTCTCAGCCCTGCCATGATGTCATTATAAGCAACAATTCAAATCCACAGCAACCCTCAATCATAACTTACATTCATAATTCATCTGAGGAAAAAAAACTACTCTAAAAATGTATTATTAGAGTAATAATAAATTTATTACGGCACCAGTGCGCACACCACACACCAGCGAGAGGAGATAGTGATAGAGCCCATTCTGTGGATGGTGGATGATAAAGGTATTCATTTTTTCAGATTAATTGAATTAATATTTGTCCTCCCAACATCCAAACCATACATGTTTTCATTTTCATGGACTTTTAGTTTGCTCGTCATTGGCTGTTCAGTTTAGTTTATTTATCCCTTAGGAAATTGGTTTTGCACAGGTGCTACACATCACAAAACGCACATGGACTTACATGGACTTACAGCATTTATCAGTTTTTGGCTGTGTCCAAAAACTGATAAATGCTGCCTTCAGAGGACACATGCAGGTCTTAAATCAAGGCACGTCCGAATGCAATGTTAGTTTCACTTCCTGTCTCCTGAGATACTTTCATCTAATCGATTTTTTAAGGAAGCATAGATGTATCCTTAACTGCCTTTTATCCCACAATCCTGTGCTTTCCATTCTCTGACAGTTGAGCTATTAATAAACATGGTGTCATCTGGTCATCAGTTTGTGTGTAAATGTACATTTTTGATCAACGTTTCCACTTATGATGTAATTTCTAGTAAGAAATATTGTTGAAGTCATTAAATATTCACTTCAAACTTTTCAACAAAGCTCGCTCTATTTTGTTATTAAACTGTTACGCTGCTTCACAAGTCTGTCCGAAATCAGTTTCGAGATGTAACCTATTCTTTGTTCTTCTCCAGGGTCCCTTGACCTGTCAGCTCCACCTGGGTCAGACCTCACCCACCCATAGAGCATCACAGTCCCGCCCACAGCCCGAGAGAACTTTGGTGCCGGAAGTAAATTTCCCATTAATTTCTCCCATTGACGTTTTGTAAAATCCATATCTAAAGAGTTTTAGAGCATGTCTGAGGATAACCAGCTACGGCTGAACTCATAAGCATACAACATATCATTTCGAGTGAAAAAACGAAGAGAAAATCCCAAAAAAGTCAAGGGTACAAGACTGTGTATTCATCCCATAAACCACCGCGCCTCACTGAAATTGATTGAAGCCACCGTGAAAGAGCCTTTTGAGTGACTTCCAAATCTGACGACGGCTTTTTCCTCTAGTGAATTTTATATAGTGAATGGGCAGGGAAACTCCTTTTCCTCGATTTACTGAAGCTTTTATGTAAAATGCGTTTGCACAGATAAAACATTGAGCATCTGGCTCGCTCATAGGCTGTGCTGCGGCAACTGCACATCCCAATGGCGCGGGGGCGTCTCTGAGGTGCAACCAGTGAACGTCATTACACGATCTTCAGTCTTCACGATTACACGATTTCCACTAACCAGATGCGTTACTGTGGGATTGTGGGATTGTTCAGGATTGTGGGTAATGAAGTACTTATCCAAGACGTCGTGAATTAAAGGCATTTATCTTAAAACAAGTTTAGTGTTTTAACTTTTAGCGTTTATATGAGCATATACAATCGCTTAGTACAGCCGTGGCTAGTTTTAAGTCTACCATGTGTGGTTACGTTTTTATGGCTTATATCCCAAATGTCAATGAAGAAATTGTATTGAATGTGTGTGTTCATGTTTTTCTATCCCGGCGGTGGTGACTTACACAGACTCATGGGGACTCATAGTGAGGTCCCCATGGGTAAACACACTTATAAATCATACAGAATTATTATTTTCTTAAATGTAAAAATGCAGAATGTTTCCTGTGATGGGTGGATTTAGGGGTAGGGACAGTGTTAGGAGACAGAATATCAGTTTGTACAGTATAAAAACCATTACGTCTGCAGAGTCCCCAAAGATAGTAAACCAAACATGAACTGTGTGTGTGTGTGTGTGTGTGTGTGTGTGTGTGTGTGTGTGTGTGTGTGTGTGTGTGTGTGTGTGTGTGTGTGTGTGTGTGTGTGTGTGTGTGTGTGTGTGTGTGTGTTAAGTTGATCTACTCCCTTCAACAGTACAGTGCACAAAAAGAGCACTTCTGGGGACTTTATATGGTCACAATTATGTGGTTAAAAACCCAAATACTGTATGAAGCAAATGATAATGGAGTACACAATATAGCACAAAGGTCTGTGAGTGTAAATATCGGCACTCAACAAAACAATAATTAGTTTTAGGAATCCGTAGAGAGCAGAAAGATAAGGAAATGTAGGGCAATAAAAGGCATCTTGCAGAGGGATGATTATGTTATTGCTTGTTCTGCTGCACTAGCATCAATTACTGCCTTCCGCATATTTGGCTGAACCTGCTCCCAGTGCTGCCGAGCAGCTGGTAACGTGTAAACTATGTGGAAAAGATTGAGACAAACTTTCGGGTTTTCTTTTTGTGCCCTCTAAAATTATGGCACGCATTAGTGCTCAAATTTGTTTGCAGTTTGATCATTAATCTACCAAGTAAGACAATACAAAATAGATAATTATATCATGTTTGCTTTGAATGTTTTAATTATTGAGTTTAACTTATTATAGCTTAAATTATATATACATTTTTATATTTAGTACAAATATATTTTTATGTTTCATTTTTTATGTTTTATTCCTGTACAACGACCCAATCTCTGGTGCATGTTCGGAAACAGCTTGCAATTACAGTAACAAGAATAGCAATTACAGTAACAAAACACACTATGCAAGATAAATAGTTTTATATATTCCATTAACAGTGCTTATCATTAAAGTATACTGTAACATTCAAAGCAAACATTTGCAAACACACACACACACACAGGTTAGACCCCTTTTGCCTTCTGCAGAGATTGAGACCCATTAGGCAATATTTTTCCAATCTAGTTTCCTAATTTTGATGAGCCCAGTTTGAACTTCAGCAGATCGTCTTGACCATGTCTACATGCCTAAATGCACTGAGTTGCTGCCATGCAATTGGCTGATTACATATTTACAATTACAAGTTGTGTTTTTAAAGGATCAGTTCACTTTTTAAAAACTTTTGCTGATAATTGACTCACCCCCTATGTCATCCAAGATGTCCACGTCTTTCTTCAGTCGAAAAGAAATTAAGATTTTTGATGAAAACATTCCAGGATTTTCTCCATATAGCCTAATGGACTTCAATGGGAACCAAACGGTTCAAGGTCCAAATGAGAATTTCAGTGCAGTTTCAAAGGGCTTTAAACGACACCAGACGATGAATAAAGGTCTTATCTAGTGAAACGATCGGTCATTTAAAAAATAAATAAAAAAGTTTATGTTTTATAAGCACAAATGCTCGCCTTGCTCTGTTCTGTAATGAGCGTTCGTGACTCTCCTGTTCCAACTCGTTCATCAAAATGAGTCATGACTCGAAGGGTCCTAGATAAGACCCTTATTCATCGTCTGCTGTCATTTAAAGCCCTTTGAAGCTGCACTGAAACTCTCATTTGGACCTATGAATGGACCTACCAATGAAGTTCATTATATGGGGAAAATCCGGGAATGTTTTCATCAAAAACCTTAATTTATTTTTGACTGAAGAAAGAAAGACATGGACATCTTGGATGACATGGGGGTGAGTAAATTATCAGCAAAAGTTTTTTGAAAAGTGAACTACTCCTTTAAGTTTAGCCCATATGTTACAATAGCTTTACTGTCATCTGCTGGTGAAGCGCTATAATGACATTACAAAAAGCTAAAGCAAACAACGGAGTCGACCATGTTCACAGAACCCCAAACCTTTATTTTCACCAAAGTTTGCACACACAGAAATGAGAGGGGAAAAGACAAGTTTGGCAGCCGGAGACACTTCAAGCATATTTATAGAAGAGACAGTGATCTTAAAAT